AAACCCAAGCCTGGAATTGGGGCCCGGATGAGGACGGTGCCTTCCTAGCCCTTAAAGAAGCCGTCACCACTGCACCCGTCCTCTCCTTCCCTTCAGACACCGGCCGCTTCAAGCTCGAATGCGACGCTTCGAACTTCGCAACCGGTGCAGTCCTCTCCCAGCTCCAGTCGGATGGGGAGTTCCACCCGGTAGCGTTCATGTCCAAAAGCTTCACGGACGTAGAACGCAACTACGAAGTGTACGACAAGGAAATGCTGGCGATCGTCCGAGCCCTTGAAGAGTGGCGGCACTTCCTAGAAGGCGTTGAAGAGAGGGTTGAGATCTACACCGATCACCCTGAGCTATTTCCGGACAGCCCAAAGGCTGAATCGACGCCAAGCCAGATGGACCCTCTTCCTCTCCCGCTTCCACTTCACCCTCGTCCACCGTCCTGGGAAGCTCATGGGGAAGCCGGACGCACTCTCCCGTCGTGCTGACCACCCGAAGGGGAGAGACGACAATGAGGGGCTAACTCTTCTCCAACCTGCCTGGTTCGAAGCCCGCGCGACAGAGGCAGTTTCGGTAGAAGGTGAAGAGGCGGGTATTCTGGGAAGGATATGTGAGGCAAGGGATCATGACGAGAAGGTAGTGAAGGCCATGCGAGAACTGGGTGAAGGGACGTTAAGGTCGGACGAATGGGAGAAGCAGGGTGACCTGATCCTATACCGGGGAAGGGTGTATGTCCCAAAAGATCCCCAGCTCCGCCATGATCTGGTATGGCTACACCACGACTCACGGGCGACGGGACACCCAGGGCGATGGAAAACCCTGGAACTCGTCTCCCGTGACTACTGGTGGCCCCGGATGGCTGAGTATGTCGGGCGATATGTATGCGGATGCGACACCTGCAATCACGTCAAACCCTTCCCCTCACGAAAGGTTGGGAAACTTACCCCGAATAAGATCCCCACCCATCGTTGGCAGGTCATCTCAGTGGACATGATAGGGGAGCTCCCAGAGTCCAGAGGATATAATGCCATCCTGGTCGTAGTGGACCGGCTGTCCAAACGCATCCACGCGGTCCCCACCGTGACGACTGTGGACTCGGAGGGTATCGCACGACTCTTCTTAGAGCATGTCTGGAGACACCACGGGCTCCCGGAAGAGATCCTCAGCGACAGAGGGAGCGCCTTTGTCTCCCGCTTCTCGAAGGAGCTCGCAGACCTCCTAGGTGTCAAGCTGACCCCTTCAACGCCCTACCACCCTCAGATGGACGGACAGACGGAACGGGTCAACCAAGAGATCGAGGCCTACCTCCGGGTGTTCATCAACCACCGCCAAGACGACTGGGCGGATTGGCTCCCGCTAGCAGAATTCTCCTACAACAACCGCGTTCACTCCTCCACTCACCGAACCCCCTTTGAACTCGACACCGGCCAACACCCCAGGATGGGGACAGAACCCACGTGCACATCCAAGGTGGAAGCCGCCGATGCATTCTCGTCAAGGATGATGAAAATGCAAGAGGAGGCAAAGGCAGCCCTAGAGCACGCAGCGGACGAGATGGCACAATATTACAACCGGGACCGTGACCCGGCCCCTAAGTATCGAGAGGGTGACCAAGTCTGGCTCAATGCCTACAACTACACGTCCGACCGTCCGACTAAGAAACTGGACCACAAGTGGCTTGGCCCCTTTAAGATCACCCAAGTCATTTCCCCGGCCGCCGTTAAGCTCCAGCTCACCGCCCGACAGAAGGGAATCCACCCAGTTGTGTCCGTGAGGAACGTCAGGCCACACCTCCCGGACGGTATCGCAGAAAGACCCGCTGACCCACGCCCAGGCCCGGAACTGGTAGAAGGAGAGGAAGAGTATGAGGTCGAGAAGATACTGAACTCTAAGTGGCTACGCCGGAAACTCTGGTATCTGGTAAAGTTCACTGGCTGGCCGAACTCTGAAAACCAATGGCTCCAGCGGGACCACCTAACCCATGCCCCCGACCGAATCGAAGAATTTCACAGGACGCACCCCCAAGCCCCAGGGAGAGAAAGGGAGAACCACCTGGCCGCTTCGAGGCGAAGCGGCTTAAGGGGGGGGTGATGTCAGGGCACACCCGCCTGACCTGGCTCCACCCGGCCCAACCTGACCCGGTACCCCGCTGGTCCACCCTTCCTTACCTCCTCCCCCTTTTCCTTCTTCCCCCCTCATCCTCCCCTCCTCAGTTTCTCCTTATCTTACTCCTTCTTTATTCTCCCTTTATTCCACACGGACGACTTTCTCTGTATCATTGTACAATTGACCCATCTGCAGCGCGCCCACCATGTACCCGGCCCGGGCACCTCGGGCGACCTCCCGCTGTGCCCAGCATGCGCGCCTGCACCGGATACCCTCGGGATCTCCCACGGAGACACCCGGGTGGTTATGGCTGTGTGCGAGGGTGACGTGGCACCCATCATGTGATCCAAGCCGCATGTATATAAACGAACCTGAAGTGGGAACCGAAGAAGTAGCCTTCTTCTCAACCTTCCACTTCAGTCTAAGTGGCCAGGGACCACTGTCCCACATCGGGCCTGTCAGTACGCACACCCGATCCGCCCCCCACCAGGCTCTCGGTCCTGGACGCTATACCCGGACCCCCTCGACCCCGGACGAGTCCCTGACAAAGTTCCACCGTAAGATTACGAGGTTTTGGAGCACAGAAAGCCAACGCATCTTGGGACACATCCTCCAATTTCCGTCAGTACCGGTGATGAATGCTTTATGGAAGATTGGGCTTTCGTTCAACTTTACGACGACAAAATCGACTGGGATGGCTTCAGGGAGTAGGTCGATGAGGTCGGTGCAATCCTGAAGATGGCCTATCCATTACTTGCGCCAACATGGTTGATCAATCAGGGCATCGGTTCAAACCAACCCAAGAAGAGGAGATCTATCGATTTATGCATTGTTGAGTGAAGGTGTCTATGTAAGTAGTTTCTATTTTTTTGCCTGGCCGGTGTCTCACTCAAGAACACATGTCTAGCATTCAGTCCCACGTAACGAGTGAATCAGTTGTGGCCAACTCAGTTTATACTGTCAAGGGAGGTGATCATTTATAGCGGAAGCCCGAGCACAGAAAACAGTTATACACGGTTTTAACGAAATAGTTGGATAGCAGGCATGCTCTGTTGACACCTAACCCATCCAAATCAACTGTAGTATACACCTGCGGTTGGGCAGAAACAACAGGGAGAATTTTAATTCGTTGAATGTACTCGACCCCAAGAACATCGTCACGCTACCCCTGTGTCACGACCCGACATATCCGACAATTCCCTCTACGCGTCCTAGTGTCACTTGGCCCGTCCCTCCCGCTATCATCATCATCCGTCCACCCATCCGTCCACCCGTCACCCTCATCCGCACTTCCTCCCTCGCGCGCGTACCTTCCAACCTAGGTTGCCCGCTTCATTGTTGTCCGCCCCCAGCTGGACGGCTTGCTAGACGGCCAGATGGCCTTTTCTCTTTTGTCTGCTTGCGGACTATTGTTCCTCCTATTGTTCCTTGCTTTCCTTTTGTTGACCAAGTTTGCCGATATTGATTATTTGTTCCTTTCTTCATTCATTAATATCGCACTTGATCCGCCACTCCTTCCGGGCCGCTCTCATTTAGTTACTTGTGTTTATAACGCGTGTAGGTTACACCGGATGTACCTCAGTTCGTATATCGACTTGGATTCCCCCTCTGAACTCTTATCCTCATCGTAAGGCTTCTGTCTGAAATTGGGACACCAACGTAAGAACGAAGCGCAGCGCTCCACCCGAGTCGCTGAAGCTAAAGTCCCGCCCCTCCGACCTTACGAGCCCGGACGACCTCGCGCGCCTCGCGGGTCACCCGGATACGCTTCTGGCACGTTCCTGACACCCTGCAACACCGCCTGGTGGTTGAGGATACTTGTTTCATTATTATATTTTGTACACTAGTTCATAAATTCAATATCATTTCAGGATCTACATGACAGATTGGTGTGATTGAACTGATTGAGACTCTACCGTCACACAGATTGCACAGATTGAGTGGATTTGGGGGATTTACAACTCTCAATCAGCTCAATCGACCTTGGAGGTTTCCTGATGCAACAACTAGCTGGCACCGGATTTCGACACATTCTTCAATGAATGGGAGTGCCTCCAAGTGTCAGGGATGCGTCCGGGGTAGAGGGGGTCCGGATGTATCGCCCGGCAGAAGGGCCCTCATGGGGTGCAAACCGGGCGCGCATGCTGGCGGGTCCGGGGAGGGACAGCAGTCCCTGGCCACTCAGACTGAAGTGGAGAATGTGTTATTGTTATTAAAAGGGAAAACTATACTACTTACCTGAAGTGGAGAATGTGAGAAGAAGGTTACTTCTTCGGTTCCCACTTCAGGTACATTTATGTACATGTGGCTTGAGTCACATGATGAGTGCCACGTCGCCCTCGGAGGCAGCCGCAGGCATCCGGGTATCCCCGTGGGGGATCCCGAGAGCGTCCGCTGCATGCGCACATGTTGGGCACAGCGGGGAGCCGTCCGGGGTGTGTGGGCCAGACGGGTCAATAGTACATTGATACAAAGGAAGGTGGTCCATGTAGATAGAAGGAAATAAACAAGAAAAGGAAGATGAGAGGAATGAGATAAAGAAAAGGGGAAGAAAGAGAGAAAGGAAAAGGGGAGGAGAGACAGAGGAAGGAGGAGGGAGAGGGTTGGACAGCGGGGAGCGGGTGTGGTGTGGCCGGGTGGGTCCGGGTGGACCCGGGTCAGGCGGGTGTGCCCTGACACCAAGTGCTGTCCGAGATTGGAAAGAGCATTATGTAGATTGTTGAGTGATTGGGCCAAACCCGGGGTGTATGATCCTGGGTTAACAGCAACTAGCTGGCGATGGAGTTTGATGCTTTCTTCGATGGATGGGAGTGCCTCTGAGTGCTGTCCAAGATAGGAAAGAGCAATATGTAGATTGTTGAGTGAGCTAGCCAAACCCGGGGTGTATGATCCTGGGTTAACAGCAACTAGCTGGCGATAGAGTTTGACACTTTCTTTGATGAATGGGAGTGCCTCCAAGTGCCGTCCGAGATTGGAAAGAGCACCATGTAGATTGTTGAGTGAGTGGGCCAAACCCGGGGTGTATGATCCTGGGTTAACAGCAACTAGCTGGCGATTGAGTTTGACACTTTCTTCGATGGATGGGAGTGCCTCTGAGTGCCATCCAAGATAGGAAAGAGCAAAACGTAGATTGTTGAGTGATATGGCCAAATCTGGGGTGTATGATCCTGGGTTAACGACAACTAGCTGGCGACGGAGTTTGACACTTTCTTCGATGAATGGGAGTGCCTCCAAGTGCTGTCCGAGACCCGAAAGAGCATAATATAGATTGTTGAGTGACTTGGCCAAATCTGGGGTGTATGATCCTGGGTTAATGGCAACTAGCTGGCGGTAGAGTTTGACACTTTCTTCAATGAATGGGAGTGCCTCCGAGTGCTGTCCGAGATTGCAAAGAGCATCACATAGATTGTTGAGTGACCCAGCCAAACCTGGGGTGTATGATCTTGGGTTAACAGCAACTAGCTGGCGACGGAGTTTGATACATTCTTCGATGAATGGGAGTGCCTCTGCGTGCTGTCCAAGATAGGAAAGAGTACTATATAGATTGTTGAGTGAGCTGGCCAAATCCGGGGTGTATGATCCTGGGTTAACAGCAACTAGCTGGCGATAGAGTTTGACGCTTTCTTCGATGAATGGGAGTGCCTCCAAGTGCCGTCCGAGATTGGAAAGAGCACCATGTAAATTGTCGAGTGATTGGGCCAAACCCGGGGTGTATGATCCTGGGTTAACAGCAACTAGCTGGCGATGGAGTTTGATGCTTTCTTCGATGGATGGGAGTGCCTCTGAGTGCCGTCCAAGATAGGAAAGAGCAAAACGTAGATTGTTGAGTGATATGGCCAAATCTGGGGTGTATGATCCTGGGTTAACGACAACTAGCTGGCGACGGAGTTTGACACTTTCTTCGATGAATGGGAGTGCCTCCGAGTGCTGTCCGAGACCCGAAAGAGCATGATATAGATTGTTGAGTGACTTGGCCAAATCCGGGGTGTATGATCCTGGGTTAATGGCAACTAGCTGGCGGTAGAGTTTGACACTTTCTTCAATGAATGGGAGTGCCTCCGAGTGCTGTCTGAGATTGGAAAGAGCATCACGTAGATTGTTGAGTGACCCAGCCAAACCTGGGGTGTATGATCTTGGGTTAACAGCAACTAGCTGGCGATGGAGTTTGATACATTCTTCGATGAATGGGAGTGCCTCCGCATGCTGTCCAAGATCCGAAAGAGTACAATATAGATTGTTGAGTGACATGGCCAAATACAGGGTGTATGATCCTCGGTTAACGGCAACTAGCTGGCGATAGAGTTTGACACTTTCTTCGATGAATGGGAGTGCCTCCGAGTGCTGTCCGAGATTGGAAAGAGCATTACGTAGACTGATGAGTGACCCAGCCAAATCTGGGGTGTATGATCCTGGGTTAATGGCAACTAGCTGGCGACGGAGTTTGACACTTTCTTCGATGAATGGGAGCGCCTCTGAGTGCCGTCCGAGATCCGAAAGAGCATGATATAGATTGCTGAGTGAACGGGCCAAATCTAGGGTGTAGGATTTGGAGTCCACAGAAAAAAGGTAACGGCAGAGTTCAACAGAATCGTTTGCTGCCTCATATGCCTCCTGGAATCTTGAAAAAAATTTCAGGTTCCACGGAAGCCGGGTAAGCACTTCAGCCAGTGTGCTAACAGCCCTGTGGTCAACAGCCAACTGGAAGACCATGAGGCCAGTTTCTTTAACACAATCCATGACCCATACCTTAGCCCACTCAGGGAGTAATGAGATACTGACGTAGTTTTCCATTCTCACACAGACTTCCACCCACTGAGTTGCTTCCTGACTCAGAAACATACTGACTGGCCCAGCAAGCTCCTCAGACCGTCCCTGGACTCCACTGAGGTGATGGATGATGTGGCGACATGCATAACGAAAGTGCTCAGATAGCTCCTTTGGAGGAATGCGCGGCATTTCATCTTTTTCAGACAAGTTTTCAATCTGTCCTAAGCCATTCACAGAGCAGAGATCCTTGTTTAAAATCTCGGTACATCTCAGGGCGACCCTGGCATTCTCCACCCCCACCGTTATCAGAGTAAAATGAGAGCTGATTGTTTGGGGATCGATCCGATCGACAATAAAATCGCGGAAAGATTGGTGTAAGATGCGAACCGGAATGTGGGAATCCTCAACTCCTGACAGCAGAGGAGCAAGTTCGGCCAAAGCATATTGAACAGAAGAATTGAGAAAAGGTGATAGAATTGCATCCCAGGCTGTGATGGACAGAGGCTGCTGAGCAACGAAGATCGCTCCCATCACAATCGGGTAGTCATGCACAAAATCTTCATCCTCCCAATCAAACTTCTTCAAAATCCTCGTATATAGGTCATCCATCATCTTCTGAGTGGGCACCTTTGATCGTTTGGTCCCGGTGTCGAGCAGGCTCTCCAGTGTTCTCATAGGATTCTTCCTAGGCTTCTTCATATAGCGAAAGATGGTGCTGATCCAAATGAACAAACCACCTGCTTGTTCCCGGATCTCTTGCACCGCACTGTCTTCGTCTTGGAGTTTATGCGACAAGTGGGGATGCCATTTCTTAAGATCTTGTAGCTGGAATTGGATGTATGCAGCACAATCGTGCATATTTGTGTCACCCAGGAGATCAATGGTGAGGTGATCGATAGGAAAATGGCGTGAGAGGGACCGATTAACAAGATCAACATGTCTCGAAGTAACGAAAAACTTTATGGAAGACGGTAACTTGGGTACTTCCTCGCAAAGAATCTTAGCAAGGGGTTGATACGCTTCTTCATCACATTCGTCCAAAGCATCGATAATGACCACCATAGGACGGCTTGGATACCGACGCATATGGAGGAGAGGTGAAGCCACCAATTCCTGGAACTGCATCGTGAATGGAGCTGTTGAGAGGGTGGGGTCTCTTCGAAGGGCAGAGATAATGAAGGTACGGTAATCTGCGTCACGGCTTGCTAGAGCTCGTGCAATGCCGCTGAATAAACAGTCCGGCCGTGGCTGTTCGCCTGCTCTGAAGAAAAAGCATAGCAATAGGACAGCCTCCTTGTTACATCTATCTGCAATCGTGTGCACAATCGAAGTCTTGCCAGCGCCAGCGACCGAGGTCAGTAGCATCAGCCGGTTCTCGTTATCCCCGGTGTTACGACACCAGTTCATAATACGCTCCGTGAGATCGACCCTGGTACCTTCTAGGCACGCCTCTGTCGAATCATGGTGGGCGATTTGAGGATATCGGAGATTATCGATGATTGGGTCACTCTCTAGACGGTCTAAGCTGTCCCCCATGGTCGACAATTTGACGCCAATCGCACCCTCCATATGGCCTAGACTGCTCTCTATGGTCGACACTTTAACGTCAATCGTACCCTCCAGACGGTCTAAGCCGTCCTTTATAGTCGGTAATTCGACACCAGTTGTTAAATTCGTCCTAAGCTGCACCGTTCGAAGATTAGAATGATTAAGGAACAATGCCATGAGGAAAGCTACCTGAAATGATGCCAACGCCTTGTCAAAATCTTTCTTTAGACCCTCAATTCTTCCAGGGTCTCGATAGTGGGACAGTGCATTCCTTACAGCTGACCGTTCCTCCAATTTTGTAAGTCTTTGTTGGATTTTAGACTGGATCTCCTGTAGGGCGCTGGTACTGGACGTAAGTATGATATCGGAAACCACCAAAACCAATACAACGTACCTCCCAAGCTCCGCGACACCCTCTACCCATGACCCTGCCTCCCCCGCTGACATATCATAAGACTTTATGGCTGAAACTACCTTCGCCATAGTGCTAGCCACGGATTCACCAAAACCAATCCATTGCTCCTTGTCCTCCTTGAACTTCTACGTGGGGTAAACTAGCGTGAGCTTTCATTCATGATCAAGCTTGAATCAGTACCAACTTTAACCTCGTCGAAGATGGAGAGTGCACCGCCAGTCGCCATCTTTAGGGGGGGACACCAATCAGCGGTAGAATTGACGACCCTGAGAATTGGGACCGCTATGTCGCCTCCAGTCATGAGGAGATTATCGATCTTTTGCCTGAGGGCTTCAGCCTTTTGCCGCAACGACATGATTGATAGTGGACAAGTGGATGGAGGAGAACTTTGGGCGCCCAATGCACGTGCAAGCCCCTAAAGGCCCGGAAGCTAGAGCCACGAGGCGTCCGTCTGGTTATGGAAGAATATGATATACAGACTATTTGGTCGACGCCACACGGACCTCTGATCCAGTGCTATCAGTGGCGAATTCTAGCGGCGGCATGACCTGGACTAGCTAGGCAATTGGTGCGGATGATGACATAACTTTAAGTCTACTGCATGAGAGCCAGTATTACAGCGTTGCCTGAAACTGGAAGCAGGATGAATGTGATTAGGAATGAGAATTAAATAAAGGACTGTGGGGCGTCATACCGAGGCACTGGTCACGGCGTTCGCTTCGTACAGAGAGCCGGCGGTAAGCGGTGCCAGGGCACGCGTTCGCAACGTATGTGCGTCAGTGGAGCATCCCATCCGGGTCCAGGAGCGCAGCCATGAGCTTTCACACGAGCTATACTAGTAGGATGCCGGTAAGCGACCGGGCGCTGGGCCGCTGGCATTGTGCACGTTGATTAAAAAAACGGGCCCTGGACAAGTATACAGGCCTTTTTGTTCAAGTCCGGCTAAAATCGTTCTCCGCAACCAATTTCCTTTCCCTTTTGATTAGGGCCAACTAGATAGCGCCTTATAAGGTCACAGCAGTAGTGACGGTTCGTACATGTCCCACGGTCACTGGTTCCAGGCTCGTGGAACTGTAGCGTCAACTTGAACACCTATGGGCTCACGCACTACGTACCTCCCGTTACGTAGCACTCATGATGCTCGTACGAAGGGGAAAGATTGATTGATAACAAGTAGCCGCGCGGCAGTATAAGTAGCCAAGGTAACAACGAAATACCAGAGAAAGGAATCGTGAATAAGATATGGCACGCGCTGCTACCCGTGAAACACTGTAGCGTTGCGTGGAGAACTGTAACGTAATGGGCGTATATATACTGGCGCGTCGTTGTGGCATGCATGTCGTCCAACACCACTACCTCATATTAACTCTTGCTCATTACCGGGTCGTACACCAATAGACAATCTTCATTTTTCCATTTTCATTTTTTCAAGCGTTGCAGTCGTGAGCTTCATACGATCCATTAATTCCATTATCTTTCCTTGGTTCTGTCCCGCGTTTAGGAGATGATGGTGCTGGCGCTAACCGTTGGGTGCCATCTTTACAACTGGCTTGGCGATCATTGTGTATCGATAACGGTCCTTTATCGGTTTTACATCAAGTCAAGAGCTGAGTGCGAATTCGACTCCAGTGCGGCCACATACTGTGCTGGATAGGGAACGCCGCGAATCAGGCTTTGGAGTCCCGAGCTAGTTTCCAAGTGCCAATTATAATTAATTAGTGCACGGGTGTGGGACGCCGTGCGGCCACGGTGTACTTAGGAGATGAGAGAGTACGAGTACTGAAAAGGAAGGGCCAAGAGTGGATGAAATGATGTCATAAGCACCGCTACATAACGCATATCCGAATCGAGTCGAACATCATTCAAGTGGCGGAATCCGGCTATTCGGCAAGAAAAGAGACTTTGTCAAATTTGGAGACTGGTTATTTACATAAGGGTAGACGGCAAAGTGGGGATCCATGTGAATATGGCCTGCAATGAGCAGCGCAATGCCTACTTCCAGGCACCACCCACAAGAAGACGCTCCTAACTCTCAGTAGGATTCGGACGTCGACAGCGTTAGAAGGTAATAATACAATGATGTCCGAAGGCGCGCAATGTGGCCCTGATTGATCCTACCATCAATTATGGTGAGTAGGTGATGTGGCCCAACAGTACGGTGATAGCATTGGAATCTGGACTTGATACCACAATGGGCGACAGAGATCGGTACAGTGCAGGATAGAAACGTATCGAGAGAGGTTGTGGCTGAGAAGGACACTGAGCGCTGTTGAACAATCAGGCTAATTCGGCACATCAACTAGATGATCCCAACGTTTCGAGCAGGAGTAGGAAAACTCAACCTATATAGCCAGGACATCAAGGCTTCCAGAGTTCCATCGCGCATACAGTATGAGCCGCCGCGATTGGTCCGTTCGGGATGCAGGATGCAGTGTTGCGTTTAGTTTAGGCCGGATGGCCAGCGTACGTTTAATAAGAAATTACAATTGGTTAGAGTAACCACACTCGGAGAACCACGTCATCACTTTGAGCGATCGGCGAGCTTCCCGATCTCCTCTCCGTTGTACGCAATGATATCTAATGAATGGTCCATCGATCCGACCTAGAAAACGTTCGACATCAGTCATTCTGGGGATATTGTATGAATTAACAGCGAAGTGGGACGGATTCTGACTCCACTGAGCTTTCAGCACCGTCAACCAACGTCCAGTTTGACAGGTATGAGCTTTTTGTATTGGTTGGGGAAACTTTAATTTCTCCCCCGATGAGAGCCAAGCATCTAGATTCCAAACTTATTCCGCGCAGGTCAGTGAGAAATGGTGGCTCCGGATATGAATAAAACTGACTTGTCAAATTATCATCATACCACGTTGTCACTATTTTTCCTCCCTCCAAAAAGCTGAGCTGACACTGTGTTTATGCTCAAATTGCCCGAGGATACAGCCCCGACCAGATTTTGACGAAAGGAAATCTGCGACAGCCTCCTGATTTGCTTCTAGGACAGGAGGCGGTTTCACTTTAAGCGAGCTGGAGCCGTCATCATCACCCTCAACAAGTGCACCAGTTTCGATTAACATAAGTTTTCGAACGTCCCACATTCTGCAGTAAGTTAAGTCCAAAGCACTAGCAGCATTGCTTCAGGGAAAGATCGTTGCTCGCGGTGCACAAAGGATGACTCCTCCTTCCAGCAGCAGGACTGATGCTGAGACAACCAATCTTCAATTTAGCGTTCACTTGTCTCCGTAATCGGCTGCCTTCCCGGTCCAAACAAGCTTAGTCCACCATCACCGTCGGAGATCCATGTTTCATTCCCACATGGCGCGATATCAAAGGATGTGAGAAGTGTCGAAGTTGAGGCAAGAGAAAGAAGCTCAGTAGATTGCCCAGATGTAAAGGAGGTCACGCAGCGTGGAATCATAGGATGTCTAAAAACCTGTGTAACTGAATAAGCTGAGTGATTCCCATCCGCACGCGCCTTTACACCAAGAGCATCGGTCGGGCCGAATTTGATGCAAGACATTGAGATCTTTCGTTTTCTCCAGGTGGTAAGCCATGGAATAAACCCTCTCCCTCGTATCCTTGGCTCGCGATCCCACGACCATGCGGCTGAGTCTTTTCCTAAGATCATTGATATCAGGATCGCTGCCCCGTAGCTGAGAATATTTCGAGAGTTCTTTATTCGTGCTTCGACAGAATGTACGTCCTTGCAAGCAGCTTCGAGTGTATCCCTTAATGACGAGATTGATTCCTTTGTGTCGTCCTCGTCACTGACAAGAGCGTCCAGAGACGGATTGCCATGGCGCGGATGCTTCACTACGCGGCAGAGCTCTAGCACCGCAAGCCTCTCTTCCTCTTTGTTTCCAGCTTGGCCTGCAACAAAGAGAGAAGCAATGGCACGCCAGATACGCGCCTGACGCGGTCATTCGAGTAAGTGGCGAGCGGACGACGTATAAACCAGCCTGTGTGTGGGTGTGTCATCCGGGCTGGCGTGCAGATGGGCAAGTCTGGAGGACTGCCGTCGGGGAACGGACATGTTCTCCTTTTTCGCTTTCTCCGCCTTCCGAGGCCGGACTGGACGGGCCCGTTCGGTCTCCCCTGAAGTTTTGATTTTTGCAGACTTAACGGGAAACATCCCAAAGGAATAAGAAGCATCTTTCAAGTCCAGGGACGCCAAGAGTGCTTCATTCTCTGCGTCTTTGGCGGATTTCCTCGCTTTGTCGTGTCGCTCAAGCATAGATCGCTGAACAAATAAGATGTGAGCTCACTAGTCGATGTCCTCCTCCAAAATGAATCAAGGGAGCTTTGGGAGATAACAGTATCCGCCAGCTTTGTGGGTCGGACTTTGGCACAAATATAAAAAAAAACACGTAGGAGGTCAGGTGGTTGGCCGAGCTTGAGGCTTTTGTTTCCAGAGTTCCCTTTTGTACGCACGGTGTATAGAGTAGGGAAAGCCATCAATGAAGTCGCGGGATAACAAGACAGACGCACAGAGTTTACACAAGGGAGTGGGAAAGCACCGTGGGAAAATGCATGGTTCCACACCATCCATGGGTCACACTCGCGCGTTTAGCATTTTCTAACACTTGGACACCGTAAGGATCTATGCTGCCTGTTCCAATTTCATTTTTTACTCCCCGCATTGCCACATGTGCTATGCAGTATTCGAATAAAACTTCATCAGGCTTGACCCCGGGTACGTCGACGGAATATTGTTACGAAGTCATAGAGGCTGGAGTCCTGCCTAGTCGACATAAATGTGTCGCCAAAGGGGGGGAACAAATACTCGTCGATTGCAGCAACTCGTCCCTTCTCCTTGTCGTAAACTCAAGCAGACGCCATGAAAAGGCTTCTGACTAAAGTGTATGTCTTTGCGTCTGCAGACAAAGGCCTCATGACAAGAGTTGAAGACAGGGTGGAAAAGACAAATGGGAGGACCCCTATTCATGACCGGACGTCGCTCTTGGATGTTGGCATTTGTGCGGCGGACGAAGGGGAGTCGCGTGAGCAAGTGCAATATCCCGCCCCTTGAGCAAAAAATTGAAAGATAGAGATACGAATCCATCGAATCCTCGCCATCGTCTTCCGACCGCCTGTGCCAGCTTCCCAGTGCCGTACCCTCGTGGATCACTGTTTTCTTGAGAAAAGTCACGATGCACCAGGCAAATGCACAAGCAATGCCTCTCCACCTGAAATGGTCAGACTTGCTCCTGCCTCACGCTGAGGTTTTTGACCCTCGTGTCGGAAATGCCATTCTGAGTCGCTCCTTGCGCTCTTCAGGACCTACATCAAGGAAATTAGTTGTCGAATCCGTGTATTTCGCCACTTCGAGTTCCGCTGCAGCAATGTTGGCAAGGGTGGATGGCACCTTATCCTTGACTGTCTTCTTCAGGATATTGGTATTGGCGGATACTCCAACCTTGAAGGGCGCTCTAATAGGTCTGTTTTCGTGATCGATGAGGAGGCACCAGACTTTCATGGCGGTGATGGGCCAACTTGTAGCAACCTCGAATGCTTGCATGGAATATCCATCGAATCAAACGATGACGCGGGTAGGACTGCTGATGCGTCACTCTTTCACCCCGGTAATTCTCCTGATCCCCGACTTCGTCTCTGCGTTCATGTATCAACCACACTGGATTCTGCCTTCTGTATCTTGTGTCTCGGTGCCCTAATTATGCATCCCTTTCCCTGTCTCGCGATGTCCAAAACTCTACGAGCACGATCCGCACTTCCAGTTTCGACATGCTTTTCCTAAGGTGACTGCCTCCGAGTATGCTGAAGTGGAACCCGGGGCTGTTTAGTCGCACTGTTGAATTGAAGAATCAAGAAGAAAAGAAAATTATGGGAGAATGCTAATATCGTGATGTAACAAAACAACCCTCGAAAGTGTAAGGGCAGTGGGCGCTTGCCGCGCCAGCCGTAGTTATTACTCATTTATAGGTCACTACTCAGGGCGACGCTTCACATCTAGCAGAAACCCTGGTGCTAGTCAAGTTCTCCTACATATGGCTGGGACGGCATTCGGACGACGTGGTGATGGTTGACTGCTATGGGAAAACGCAAATGGCCTGGTATAAACGACTCTGCATATATGTTTTGAAGGCGACTATCGAGAGGACATTCCATTCGATTCCTTGAATCAAAAGACTAGAGTGCTGAAGCGCCCAACCCAAACAATGTAGATCCACACGATGTCTAGCTAACTGTTCATTGTGAATGCCAGAGTGCACTTCTCCTTGATCATCTGGGGGACATTCAACCCGGGTGGCTTCCGTAGTTCTGAGAGGGAGATCCTTCTGTCGACTGCATTTTGCACTAGAGTAGCGCCTCCATGTTATTGCCGTAGAGTCTTGAATATAATGCCACTCCGCCCAGACCAGTGTACGCAACCTTTTGTGGGAGAGTGCAGTCCTGGTCGGGTGACAACCAGTGATTTGGAGACAGATGTTGTGTAACAACTATCGCCAGTTGGGGCAAGTTCGTGAGTATTCCAAGAGTATGCTGTTTCCGCGAGTGCGACGAATATAATAATACAGGTTGAAATGTGCTCACCATAAGGACCTGCAAACGCCATCTCATTCCCCCGAGAAGCGCTTCCCCGGTTAATGCTGGCGACGTGGAGCGAGCAACTAGGTGTGACCCATAGGCATGGGTGTACGTAGCTGAGGTGTATGCAAAGAACCATCGTGAAGTCGGGTGGAGGTAGGTCACAGAGGTCAGCAATCTCGGCAAAACACTCTTCAGGTCAGGAAGCACTTGAAGCCATATGGAACAATGGGTCACGTTATTGATGACGCAAGCACATTGGAGACGCTAGCCAGTGACGCCACTTGATACCACTTTTTCGGAACTATTCCTGGTAACTTCACATGATTCTTGTGCATCGAATTTACTTCCAACGATCGGAATGAGACGCCGATCGCAATCAACTCACCTCGTGTCAACCGCTGGCTTGCTGATATTCTATCAATTGGCGGTCACTAGATTCCTTGATGACATTTGCGAGGCGGACTGTTGGTGAGTTTCCCCCGTCGCACCGGCCGTACTTGGAGGAACGCCAGCGACGCTAAAGGAATCCACGGTGCGCATGGCAGTTCCGGGTTTCATCGTTCAGGTAAGTTCTACACCTGGATAGTCAGCAGTGAACAAGGCGTTTCGCGACAGAAATCAAAACGGGTGAGGACTATATATTGGTTTCATGCGTGAGACTACAAGAAAATGGGATTTGATAAACAAATGTATGCCGCGAAAACGGCGCAGTGAGAAATTTATGGGGCATATTTCATGGATAATGCCCCTTCCACGGTATAAATATGCAGGAAGTACAGTGCGTTATATCCCCTTGACGGAATTGAACCTGTGCTGAGTGGCTCCCCAGTCCGCTGCTCTGCTCTGTGCCGATTGGGGCTCGAGGAGCCGGTTCAAGCCATCACTGGCTACACACGTGCCAGTGTCCTTGCCTGCTAGTTGAGTTACCGGTCGGTTCGGAAGTCTGGCAGTGAGATGATGAGACCATGTAGGAGTGTGGGGTTTGCTACACAAGGCTTACCGAACCGATTCTCCGTGGTGGAAGTCCAATCACAAGGATTTCGCCATCCTGCGCGTCCGAGTCAGTTGTTGGCCCTCCAGTGGTAGTCATCAAGTAGAAAACGTACGTTGGACGCATCAACAATTGCCGGAACGGGAGAATCATTATTGATAGCAACACCCCCACTTTCTGGTGATATTGGACTAAGGGCTATGCCCTCATCGACACTTCCCCACGATGAGATCCGGAGAACCAATATCAAAAACGATAAATAATGTGCCTTCACAGAAAACATCAGATTTCCGCGCGTATTAAGATCAAACGTAAAGGAAACCTAACTGGTCCCGACAAAACCGACGTCAAATCCATGACAAGTGGATTGGGCTAGTGGCAAAGGATGAAAAAAAAATTGGTCCGCGAGCTCTCATCAGATGATGTCTCTCACCCAAAAGAGGAGGAGGAATCCTCTTGGAAGTTGTACTGGGAGAACGAGGAGAAAAGCAAGAATCTTGAGAGTTGTTGTTGTTTAATACAGTGTGGCGTTGGACAAGTATGGGCCTTTACATACACAACGTTTCCTCCATTTGAATGATACCTGCCTAAGCATGTCATCACAAAATGATTATCGCAGCCCTCTGCTAAGAATTCGACGTTGTTCTACATGCCATAGGCCGATAAGACTCGTTGTGAAACCCAGGACCAAGCAGATGGTGTTTGCGAACATGGCTGTCGCCAGTATGCGATTTCGAAAGAGACCGTGTGATCTGATGGGCGGAACGGAAACTACAGTATAAGATCGCCACGATGAGCAAGAGCAGCAAAAACTTACGGCCCCTGCTCCACTAAAATTTCTCCATAAATTGATAGTGCTGTTGATGTTAGGCGAAGGAAGCGTGTGAGACACAATAGCGCTCACCGGACTCAGCTGCACAGAGAAAAATTGTGATCACCCAACAGAACAGCAAAATTGGGCGCATTATTCGCCGGCAGCTGAAGCATTCACAGATCAACCGTAGGGCTCTGACCATCGATGGCATTAGATTCTAGAATGGTTGATGGAATGGCGAAAACCTTGCCTGAAGCTCAGGAATACTGAAGGTAATCAGAGTGGGAACATAGTCAATTGTCAGAATTGCACTACTCACAGTGAAACACGCTGATAATCGGAACAGAGACTAGATGGTGGCAACTTCGTAATATCTTTGCAGTCACTTCATTGATTGAATTACCTAGAACATAGGTCGAGATAATGGTTGAAACCTCAATATTCTGGTACAACGGCATACTAACAAGAACTGATGTACTGGAACAGGAGGAGAATCCCAGTAACTATAATGTGAGAATGAATGGATATTAGCTGGTGTGATTCTGGTCTTCGCACTCACCCAGTTGCATGAGATGCAACGGCACAAGTATAATGGCTAATATAAACATACCCCGCAGGGCAGGACGATGATTTGATGAGAAGCACATCGCCCCCAGCAGGGCTGACGAGGCACTAACGATGGAAGTAACGAGCACAAACCCTGCGATGCAGAGTGTCATTCTAAAAACGTTCACATCAAATCAATTGATCATCGTATTTGAACGCGTATGACACACCGGAGCGCTACTACCATTAGGAAGAGTGTACCTGGAAAGGGGACGTGGAGGAGGGTAGCAACGGTGAACCCGTAGGACGAACACGGTGAACAGAGTGTCGAGTCCTCGGATGCAAATGCTCGTAAGTCAAGCATCCTTCGGCGAGCTAACTAACTACGAGTGGCTGGGTCAACATCCTTCCCAACTCATCGTGCAATTTCTTCTTTTTCACCGCACCAGCCGGCGCTGCTCATATGGTCCTGGATTGTGGCGTGGCACGCGGCGTGTGGCATGCTGCTCAGATGGGTTTAATTGCGCGGATCACAAACGCCAGGATGGTTATTTCTGCCACTGGATAATCCGGAAAAAATCGGGACTGGGCGTTCCAAGTCTGTGAAGTGAAGGGATTGCACGAGAACAAACGGGATTCGCCTTGCCGAAATGCCTTCGTTTGTTGAATTTCCTCCGCCGATGAAGCTGTGGTAGAGCGGGAGTTCAAATCAGGCTGTCTGTAGGTCTCCCATCAACGGTCACGGAAAAGCGGTATTCATGAGCCCAAAGATGTGATTTTGAATAGGAGAATCGATGAAAACATTCACAAGGTATGTATTTCCTCCATCGTTTAGTATTTGGATTGATACCTTCAAGATTTCGTGTGTGTTGACGCCCGGTGCGTTTCAGCGCATACTTATCGTCAGGCACCGGTGTGCTCGGAGAAATCAAGGTTCGCGTTAATGTACATCTCGAACAACGTCAGCTGAAGAGGTAAGTAGACGCAATGCCGACTTCGAGGCGCCACCCATAAGAAGACGCTGCTAACTCCCAGATTGTTGGCAAGATTCAGACATCTACAGCGTTAGAGGGTGATCCAATCCTCGGCCCAAGGCGCACAATGTGGCTCTGATTGATCCTACCATTATGGTGAGTAGGTGATGTGGCCAAACAGTACGGTGATAACATTGGAGTCTGGACTTGATACTACAAAGGGCGACAGAGATCGGTACAGACGTCTAATATGCGGGATGGAAATAGTATACGTGAATGACTCGAGAGAGGTTGTGGCTAAGAAGGACACTGAGCGCTGTTGAACAATCAGGCTAAGTAATTCGACACATCGGCTCGATGATCCCAACGTTTCGAGCCGGAGTAGGCCTACATAGCCAGGACATCGAGGTTTCCAGAGTTCCGTGGGGCATACAGTATGAGCTGCTGCGATTGGTCCGTTCGGGATGTGTTTAGTTTAGGCCGGATTGCCCGTGTACGTTTAGTCTCGGGGAGGGCCACCACTTCAAACAAACAGATAAGTCATTGGCAACATTTTGAATGTGAAGCGAGCTTTCTCTCATCATTCTAACTGACGGGACCTTTAAAATCCGCAGAGCTGATCAGGCATGACAGAACAGTTACTACCCGCCGCGCGGCATTCTGAATGCCCCAGCCCTCGGCGAATGCCGTCTTTCAGATTTTGTTCAACCTACACTAATCCATCAGCGTGCGGCCACCCCTTGTGCCTTGCTGACATGCATCCTTGCAATCGTTTCGCTGGGCTGCTCAGCTGCTCGTGGCTCTTACTGTTGAGTCTTCGTTGTTGCTGCACAATAATTTGGAACACCGCAAGTAATACCCACTAGAAGAAGCACTGGCTATCTGTAACTTGCTCGGAGCGGAGTTTTTCCAAGATGCATCTGAACGCTTGTCAGAAGGTTCTCGGCGCAGTTCCACACTGACGCATGCCGCCTGCTTGTATGAAAAATTTCGTTGGATCGAACGGTACATGTGCAGCACTACTGATGCACCACTTAAACTTGCTCATCTCCCAGTCCCAGACTTCGATTTTCATACGTTAACCACGCTGGATCCTGCCTTCTGCGTCTTGCGGCTTGGTGCTCTAATTATGTGTCCTTTCCCCCGTCTAGTTGGGTGTGATACATCGATGTCGCCATTAAACAGTTTACCATGGTCGTCCCTCCACCGGTTAGTCGCCCATTTGGCGTAACGATATACACTGTTTAGTAATGCTTTTTCGCTAGCCTATACATACACCCACGGGTTCTATGTTTCTTCGGCCGGGGGTATGTTTTCTTTAAGTGATGCCATTTCCCCCAAGTGAGACCCAAAGCCGTTCCGGTGTACTATCGAAGAAGTCCAGAAAAGAATGCAAGAATACAGTGATACTGCGAGTCATGCAAAGTAGTTCCAAAAGCGTGAGAGCATGGGCGCTTGCAGGCACCATGCGTTACTAATGCAAGGCTGCATGAAGCTGGAGGTGCTAATGCCTTTCAAGCAGCCTATCCAACCCCCAGCTCGTCTTGGAAACATGATACTCCTATTACTCACCACGCTTGTGACACCCCTCTTCGGTTTGAATGAATTTTGCTGGATGGCACGGATCCATGCATGTGTTGGCAGCAATGTGGATGCAGTCCAACTGCCAGCCTTCACGTCCGAATCAACAGTCTTGCCGCGGTTAAAGAACATGAGGAATGGAGAGCACTGGAGAAGAGAGCTGGAAGGAGCGGGCACTTGAAGCTATCTATGTCTACTGGCGCACCGATGTACGTGAAGTTTGGGTGCCGTGCTTCATGTGCCCGTTCGTCACCTGACCATTTTTGCAGCCAGTGTGGGTTAGTGACCAAACCACAAGAGGGGGCATCGGCCTTGCCGCTTTGAGCCATATCGACGAGAATTTGTGGTTCAACCTTGGCGAAATCGGCGGGCGAATTTGTACTGTACCCTTCTGTGTCTATTGTTGTTTCTGGGCAGTGGCCACGAAAACGCAGCTTGGGAAGGGAGGAATTCGCTCTCCCAACATCTATCAAGGACAGGCTTCTCCTTTATTCCACAACCCGGAGCCTGACGGAATTGTCTTGACGTTGACGGCGTTATTGGAAAAACTATCGATGGAGATGCCCTCATCCATGAAATTGGTCGTGTGTATGTCCCTCTTAGATTACGTCTTTTCAACTTATGAAGAAATCCCGTTGTTCAGCGGGATGTGACCGTGATCCCTGCTGAGCTATCTTCAGAGGATGCGTGATTTCCCGGAACAACGAGCAGCCGCAGTCTGTTGGACATGTGTTACTTACGTTGCCTGTTCAACCATTTGGGAAGAGTCTGAAGAGAGTTGTAGGATGAGTCAATTCCCATCCGATTGAATCTGAACAAAGTGAAGTATATCTTCCTTGGTGGTTTTGTCGTGATCGGTTCTTCCTTCTATCCTAATCGTCCTCAGATTCTTTTGCATTGCATCGTCAGCTCTTCAGCTCTTCAACTCATTAAATAAGCAAAGGTGTGGGCACGTCAATGGTGTTTACGCTAGACTCAGTGAACTGGACTACGGGCTCAATGCATCAGCAAACCTGGATGTGGAGGCCTGAGAGCTCATAGAGCTCATAGAGCTCTCAGAGTTTCAGTACTTTGAAATTGCAGGTCCCCTTCTCTCAGAGCTCCCCAAAGTAGTCAAAGCTCATAGAGCTATATTTGCACACAGGGCACTATTATCTATATGAGCTCCCTGAGTATTTAATTTATCCAATATCAAAAATTAAAATTTAAGAGCATTGACTCTGGCATCATGTGATGAGTCACAGCCAAGTCCCTACCATGCAGGAAACTGAACAAACCAAGCTTAACTTTCAGCCCCCAATGCAGCACTACACACCAAGGGTATATAGCCAAATTAATATATAGTTAATCTGAAATTGCTCAAGGAAAATGCAGGAAAATGAGTGGAGAAATGGGGGGGAAAATGAGGGGAAATTTGAGGGGGGAATGGGGGGGAATGGGGGGAAATTGAGGAGGGAATGAGGGGGGAATGAGGGGGGAATGAGGGGGGAATGAGGGGGGGAATGAAGGGAAATTTGAAGGGGGGAATGGGGGGAAATTTGGAGGGGGAATGGGGGGGGGGAAATGAGGGGAAAATTGAAGGGGGAAATTTGGAGGGGAGAATGGGGGGGAATGGGGGAAAATGGGGGAAAATTGAGGGGGGAATGGGAAGGAATGGGGGGGGGGGGGGAATGAGGGGAAATTTGGAGGGGGGAATGGGGGAGAAATGGGGGGGAAATTGAGGTGGGAATTGGGGGGGGGGGGGAATGAGGTGGGGAATGAGGGAAAAATTGAGGGGGAAATGGGGGGGGAATGAGGGGGAATTTGAAGGGGGAAATTGGGAGGGGGGAATGGGGGGGAATGAGGGGAAAATCGAAGGGGGGGATGAAGGGGAAAATGGGAGGAAAATGAGGGGGAACTGGGGGGTTTCTAAAAAGTCAGGGAAAATTAAGGAAAATTCAGAAAATGGGGGACTTTCTAAAAATGGAGAATGTCCAAAAAATCAGGGGAAATTAGGGGGAAAATCAGAAAATTTGGGATAAGTTAGGGAGAGATATTTCAGGAAATTAGGAATAATTGGAAAAGAAATTAAATCACTTTTTTGATAATTCAATGTGTATTGGAAAGTGCCAAAGTGGGGCAATGTAGCAATGCATGTTTCAGTGTTAGAAAAGTCTCCCACCATGTTTTGGTGAGCCAAATAACCATGGCTTTTTGACCACGGGAAATTTGGTGTCAAAGGCTTGGATGATATCTGAAGAATACATCAGCTTTTTGTTTGCTTTATTTGTTATGGAAATGGGAATTTCCCATTTTAGACTCTTATGGGTTCTGTATCACATGATTTGTATAGTAATTAAGTTTAACCAATCAACAATTACCAAAAAACCCGCTGTGCTAACCTCTGTTAAACCTCATGTTACAACATCTGTGAAACCATCTGTAAACCCTAATGAACCACCTCACTTCCACTTTCCACTTTCCTGCGTCAAGAATGGACGAAAATGGGCGCCTCCGGCCCCATTTTTGTAACATTATTGGGTGGTATTTTTAATTTACTTCAGTTGGAACACTTTTTTAAAACTGATTTATACCCTACATAACATGCATGGTTACATTGCCACACTTTGGTGCTTTCCAATTCACATAGAATCATCAAAATTGGTTGAGTTTTGAGCAAGAAATGAGATGAAAGATAAAGTGCAAATTTTTGAATTTCAGAGTTTTCCTCATATTTTGTAAATAGCAATAAACAAATAAGGTGCTGATTTTAGTAAACATGAAAGGTATATGAGCTTTCAGAGCAATGACAATGGCCATTTTACACACACATATATCCATATTATCTTTGCACTACTGGTGCCAAAATAACTAAGCAGATTTCATGGAGATATGAAGACCATCCATTATTTAAAAACAAAAAGCTCTATGAGCTCTATGAGCTCAGTGAGCTCATAGAGCTCATAGAGCTTTTTAAGTAATGATGCTGGCCATTTAATATGCATTTCCAAAAATGTATATACATATTATCTTTGCACTTCTGCATCCTTAGGAGAACAAAATCATTCAAACATTTAATTTTCTCCACCCAATGTGTAGAGGGTGCACAGCAAAAAGACTCAATTTGCTCACAGAGCTCACAGAGCTCCCTACCAAGTTTGCTGATGTGGCAAGATGAATTTGTATACCCTGCAATAGGGTTATACCTGGTGCCTCATTGGTCTCTATGTCCTAGGAGCCACCAACAACGGACCGGTAACTTCAAGGGTTCCGCTGACCGAGTTTAAGGGATGATTGTATATGATGTCCTCATAGGGATTAGATGACCCATCCACTCAGCTCCTCACTTCTTCTGATCCTTCAACTGTTCGGCCATCTCTCACCATCGCATGCCAGTATTCTCTCTTGGAGGACGATATTCCAGCGCTGATGTCAGGCTCCACACCCTATCTGGTCGAGCGATGACGCCAGTTGGTTGCACATTATCATTCCCAAAAAATTTCTTAATTCTTGGACTTGTGTTCCTTGCCCGTCTCCCACCCAGAGGCCAGGGTTGGTAAACATCTCGTTCGAGAAATTGGGTTGGGGTTTGTATTCGAAACCCCAGTGAGGGCAGCACATGACCTGGATGAACCCTGGAGTCTGCCCAAGAGTGATTGATTATTCCAGATTCATTACCTGTGGCGGGCTGCTGGCCCCGTTTGAGGCCAATGGCCTAATCTGTTTCTCACACTGCAAGACGATTCAAGGCGCCACTCTGATGTTTCCATTGTGCTGTGCATCTTCCTCAGGTGATCCCAGCAAGCTCCGCTCTTTCTGTTCACCAACGCATATACACACTGCCCGACTGCATCGTCGCAAATATCTGTGGTCATAACTACAGAATTGGACGATTGATCTATTGTTATCTCAGTGATTCTAATCGCTAGCCCTGTTCAGTTGATTTTCCAGCTTTCTGGTTCTAGTCTGAGTAATGCTACCGCTCCACATGCATGAAACGAAGCTTTCTGAAGCCAGCTTAAATAATGCCCCATGGCTCAGTCATCCTTCATCCCCTCTGGTGCTTTCTCTTCTATGCTAGTCGGCCAAAATGACACCGTTTGAACATCTCTATGGAGGCTATTTCACCAGAGTAATACTGAACTCGATGTTCGTCCTCAACTGGCTTGCTTTTCATTGTCTTATTCCTGTACAATAGACTCTTTGGCATCATAACGATTCAGACACACCTACTGTACTCACACGACCAACTACCGGTCACGCGTCACAGCGACCTCCCGGTCCGGTTGAAATTCAGGGTCTGTCACGCGTCACAGCTGGTTGGCGGTTCGGTGTTTGGGTGTCACGCCAGTTATGCTGAGGCAAGGTGGCTATGCAAGGTAATTAAAATTTTCCATTTCTGGAATGTATTTACATTCAAAAATGGAAATTTTTCATTTGGTCTTCCAAGTTTCTTGTGCACCTTGCTCGCATTCCACGGCCAAGTTCCTGCCCATGAATAGGCACAGGGAGTGTGGAGATGTTGCCAAGCTCCTCAATTTCAGCCTCCTCAGCACAGGTTGAAGCTGTCTGGAGACTGCCTTGAACTGCCTCGAGGCCATCGGGAACCGCCGCTCCATCCATATGTTTGATTATGTCTTCAATCTCGACTTCTACATCATCTTCCACAGCATCCGTGAACTCGCCTTCATGTTCAATGGGACTAGGATCTGGGGCAACACTGTTTGGGCACTTCCGCGGTGCCATGATTGCTTTGGCAAGGTCTGAGTTGGTCTGTAGAAGATCATCAAGAACGACACGAAGCGGACGGCTTGTCAGGCTGGCATGGGATAGATCGAACTCGCCTGAGTGACACAGCTCAAAGGCCTAAGGATGGGTAAGCACCTGTGTACCATCAGATTGAATCCAATCAACTCACTTTTTGAACCCTGTTTTGCTCGTCTATGACATGGAACATGTGGAGTAATGTGCTGAGTTTTGCATCGAGTTTGACATCTTGTGAGTCCATTCCACTCTGTAATTGTGAGTAGACTTCTTGAATAGTTGCTGACTGTTGTGATCGCTTCACCGCGTGTTTAAGTGGCCGCTGAATCCCAACATCACAGGGTTGCCAGAGACCTGTGCATCCACCAGGAACATAATCGAGTATGATCCATGGGAATTTTTGTACATCCAAGTACGAAATTCAAGCGAAGTGTGCACTGGCCAAACGTCAAGCTGCCAGATACACTCTTGGAGGGGGTCAAGTGAGTGCCTTTCCTTTTCGTTGTTGAAATAAGGAACCAGGATGTTGACCACGAATGATTTCATTGTTGTCAGGTTAGCCCAATATGTGTCGTTCCCGGAATACTCGAAGAGAAATCTCAACTCCTTTGCTTCCTGAAAACCCAATGCACTTGCAGAAGGTAGACTCGCTGAGGTTTTCCCTTGGAATATGGCTTGGAACGGAAGAAGAACTCCACTAGCTGAGATAGCAACATTAAGTGTGAATGCCCGTTTTTCGTCATAGCCAACGGTGGAGATTTGATGTGAGCCCTTTAATTTGTATGTTGATGTTGAGCTTTGCTGATATATCACTTGTGTCTGATCAGAGTTAACTCGGAGGGTGTCAGGTATCGCATATTGACGAATGGAATAAGCCTGGCAAAGGAGCGAAGCATGGAGCTTTTGGGCAGCATCTCGTGGAATTTTCTGAGTTGTGTGTGTCGCCTGCCGAAGACTCCAATTCATCTCATCTCTGAGAAACTTGCGGACCCAATTTGTGCTTGCCGCAAATATGCTTCCATCCTTACTGACAACAGATCTAAGGATTTCAGGCCAGCTATGCATGATCTGGGCAAGAATAACCCCGCATATCTGATGCACATCCAGTACCGCACCTGCCTGACGGACACTTTGTAGCATCTGTTTGATTCTTTCTACTGTCTCCAGATGTTTGGCCTGGGATGCTTTGGTAAGTGAAATGTTGTTAAGTTAATAACTAAACACACCAGAATCCCCCTCCTTGTTACAGTCCCACCTGGGCAGTTTTCTCTTGCGACCTTTGCTAGTGTCGCTGCAGACCAACATGGCTGTGACCCTGTTCGATCAATCCATTTCCCAACCACATCAGCACACAGCGACACAACTGCTGACTTCGTGCTTGACAACCCCTTACTATCTCAGTTGGACTCATCTTCCAGCCCACTGTGTCTGTGACGTCTTTTATTATTGTCCAAAAGATCGGTTGGAACCAGTTCGTAGTTTTCGCGTGTGTTCTTATTACTTTTTGGGGAGGCTCGGTACTGACTGGATGATGGTTCCTTTTTTGGCGTTTTCGCTCCATCATCCACTCCTCAATGTGGCGCTTTGGTTGCGAGATCTCCGCAAATGGGAGTGCCATCGGTTTCAAGACAACAATGGGTGACACTGTCACCTTGCCTTCACAGGTATGGTTCCCATGTTTGATGTGCTACATATAACATCGCTGATCAGGAAGTGTTCCCACCTGTGCATCATCTGCATACCTCATCATCTTTATTTGCCACTGGCTTCTGAGATGCTCGGTGGCAGCATTGTCGCTCTTTGGCTGACTTACGGGCCTGCTCTACTTTTCTGATGGCAGCTCTCCTCACCGAAAGATGGAGTTCTTCCTGTCTTTCTGTCATCCTCTCATACTCTGCAGCCAACTGGGCTTGGTATTCTTCATGGCTTGTGGGGCTAAAGAAGTGAAGCAATCCACGGCCTTTGTCCTCCTCTTTAATGGTGAGATCCAGCCACTTCCGTTCTCGTTCTGATGTGCTTGTGTAAGGTACTTCTTCCGAGCGATTCAGTGCAGCAGCTGCCACTGGTGCAGGGGGAGACATGGGTGCTGCAGGAAGGGTGGGTTTGGTATGTACATGTTGCATATGACGGTCAAGGATTGATTCTAGGAATTCTGCACGTAGGGCCAGTGCTCCATTGCCAGTCTGGAGTGAGTGTTTTTCAGGGAGAAGGCGATGCATTAGAGCATTGAGAGCGAAGAGGCCACATGATGAGGACTCTGTTTGGTAAGCTATCGGGAGCCACGCAATCTGGAATGGGGCCGTGGACTGATTTGACTTGGAATAGGATACATCAAGTGTCAGGGCAATAGCCCGAACCCTGAGCGACATGTAAATTAGATACATATAGTCACGTGGGCAAGCAGGAACCTCTGGGTAACTGCTTACACACCACCGTAAAATACACAAACTTGTATCACTTACGGCCTTGTGTGCTGAGCTACCCAAAGACCTCACATCAAGCCACCATTGGAGGATCTTGGTAGCTGCTTGAGTGGTGTGTGAGTGTTGATTTCCACCCACTGGCCAACATAGGGAGTCGGCAAGGTAAATAGTGGATTCAGCAGTAGAAATGATGAATGCTATCCAATGGTTGTCATTGACATTCATTATTCCACCAAATAGGGTTATAGAACCAGATGCAAGCTCAGACCCCAATAGATGGAGGGTGATACAGGTGCGGTCATGTTTGTATCTTTCTAGTCCGTCCTTCTGAGTCACACAACCAGTTAGGTACTGGATCTCAAGTGGGCTCAATAGCCGTGCCTTCACACCTCCATTCCCCAGATCGTCACGTAGAAGTTCGATATGGTACATAATGTCAGTTGTCGTAAGGCAGGACATGGAAAGGTGACGCATCAAGCCTCCAATTGAACTGAACACTGATTTTGAGAAACCCAGGACTTTACTGTTCCAGGGGCATGAGAGGAGTTGCCTTTGTGCTGCTGTAATAGCACTGTGGTGTGCTGGGTGGTGGCATACTATCTCCTTGACGTGTGCCACTACATCTCTCCATACCTGCTGCAGGTCACATAGTTGTAGCAAGGCCTCCCAGATATGGAGAATGGTGATGGGGAAATAATATGAGCCAACATGAACCGAACAGGCTGGGTTGTCATCATTGGGGTTGTGCTCGGAGATGAGGTTTTTTATTGAGTGGTAGGTTGGACAATCTATGGTGTGGAGATCATTTTCGGACAGTTGATTGACGGAGGGGGGGTGGTGGCTGAGGTGTATGGTTGAACCTTGTAAATTTGTCTGGAGGACTGGAAGTGTAAACTGGATAAATTCGGTGACAGACAAGTTCCCGTCTGGAAAGTAGGATCCAATAAAATCACCTGGGATGTCGCTATATGAGATAGTCTCATCCGTACACAAAGCAATGCGGTGTGCAAGGGTAAAACCATTCATGAGATGATGCACAGATGCTCAGAAATTTTATGGGGGCAGTGCTTTCAAAATTTTAAATTTTAAATTCAAGGTGCCTTCCGTTAGTTAACAATTCAATATAAGTAATATAATTCGGACAACTCCGCACCCCTGCCGGTTAGGTGTCACACGTCACAACGAGTGGCTGGTTTGCAGTTTATATCACGTGCTGAGTCACGTGCCCGTCTCAGCCGGTAGTTGGTCGTGTGAGTACAGTATACTTCAAGCGGTATAAATCAGATCCCTTACTGGTCAAGGGAATAGTCATCTTCCTGATGTGAGTGCTCGCCAGGGCTCACGAAGTTAACGAATTGGGGCTCAATGGTTTGATTTTCATTCTTCGCAGTTTGCTGCAAGGATTTCAGACGCAAGCACACCTCAAGTCCCTTTTATAGTCCTTCGTTGACTCATAACCTCTCATTAGAGGCACTTCTTCATATGTAGTTTACACCAACACAATCCGGAACTTTGGGGTCCCAATTACTCGGACTGACTGGTAACGTTCTACCGACACTCTGATTTTATCGCCACTCATTCTGTACTGCAGGGAGTCGACCATTTATCAAATGGCCACGGTCCGTGTTTTCACCATTCCATTGGTGACTTTCCTTCATCCGTGCCGATTCAGGTTACTTGTGCAGTGGTGGTTCAAATGTATTATGGATACCGCCTCTACCGACGTGGGTGGATCCCAATAACATCCTTGATGGTTTGTGTTTGACGACGCATCCAAGTGAGCAATTCATCCTGGCTCTCGATCCTGGTGGTGTGTTCGCAATCACCTATCACTTGACCCAAAGTTCTGATGTTCAAGTTTGGTTCTAGGTAACGCTCACTCTCGCGCAATTTGGTAAGAGTCGTGACGATATATGGAAAGGACCTCATTGTTCAATCGATCTTTCCAAAGGACTCGCATTGGGTGAGTGTGTGGGTAGTGCGAATCGAGCGACACTTATCATCAATAATCTCCTAGCTGTTTGCCTCAAATCGTATGTGCCATGACGAGCGAGTGCCACGAAACGGGTCTCATCCATTACTTATCCTTTCCTGTCCATAGAAATCTCACACATCAAATCGAACAGACAGTTACCCCGCTTCGACCGCTAATTCTCAGCTGGTTGCTCATCGAAGCGGTCGTTGACACTCTGATCGCCGCGTCCATGTGGTACTTCTTGTCACGACAAAGGACCGGATTCCGGGAGTAAGTTAACATCTGAATCAGGCTTTCAATACCCTCACATCACTCCGCAGAACCGATTCTGCCATTACCATATTAACTGTGTACGCGATTAACATGGGTGTCGTCACAACGTACGTGATTTTCTAGCATGTTCCCATGTTTAATTCACAATGTACCCTATTTGTGACAGTATCTTGGCAATGACCGTTATGTTTGCGGTAATAAGGGATCACTTCATTCAGAGTCATTGCTTAGGCCTGTGCGTTCATTTATAGTTCGCATTTTACGGTTACCACCTCATTCATATGGCCTTTGTTTTGGTGCGTCTTTACCACTCCGGGCACTGGCCGCTTTAACGGTTCTATTGTACCAGTCACTCGGGGCTGTTTACGCTGTTAGCTTACTTGCAAAGTGCGTCATTCACCTCACTAATCCTACTCCTGGCACAGAGGACAGCAACCCACTTAACAAAACCACTCAGCCTCCACTCGCGGTCCATCATTCGAGAACGACTGAAACCGAACAATCGAACAAGGGCTCGTTCTATTCATTTCTCTCAGCTCCCAGAGAGGGTGATTCCAATTTCTCTTTACCTTCTTCATGCCAATCCATTATCGATAATCAAACTTTTAGATAAGGGATCAAATATCACAAGCGATGAAGGGGAAAAGTCCTGCAACTGCCTCTGGTGTCAACGACGCCATGACAGCGGTCCCCCCAGCCATCGAGGTGCAAAACACTGTGACACACGAGATTGAGATTGTTGGATAATCCACCGGAAATCCTTTGTCTAGTGTCGTGACTCTGACATTCTTGGTTTTACTTGCATGTTTGTGGCTTTATTTGGATGGTGACTCAGTTCCCGATATGCAGCATCCGATCAAGAATAAGATGATGGCCAGCGTTTCACCAGCGCTCAGCTTAAACTTTGTATCATTGATAGTTACATTATGTCAGCACTAGATATGTCTCAGTTTAATCCCATTTCACATGACTAATCAGGTGGATCCGCGCGTGCCTCAGAGGAGGCCGTCTTGTTCTGCACTGTCGCAGTGCGGATGGAACAAGACGGACGAAACCCTCCTCCGGGCCCAAACTTGGTCTCAGACCAGCTGCGGGAAGAGACAAGTTGCATCCGGGAGCGAGATAAATAGCGCACCTTATCCACTCCCCACCTGCCTGCGCAATCGTACTACAACGTCTAACTGGTAAGTTAACGGTAGTGCGATGAGGCTTCTAACCGTGTGTGCTGGCCCCGCTCCTCAGGCCTGCACACGGTTATCCCTGCTCTCGCTATCCACTAAACGCGCGCTTACTCTTACTTTCATAGTTCTTAACTGAATCTCCGCGCTTCCCACCTCCTTCCCCATCGCCTCCGTTGCGTTACATCATTTTTTCACTTGCTACCCTCTCCTGCATTTACTATTAATGTATTTAATTGACGTACGGCTCGCATCGCTGGCGCACAATCATACGCATTGCAGGTCCATACGGACCGTGTCCACTAACTCATGGACCGCTCACGGAACCGAACTGATTAGTATATTTTTATAAGATTTTAGGGAGTTCTGGAAACGTTAGAAAAATCTCTCACCTCAGTCCAGCCTATGTGAACTGAGGGAAGGGGAAGAAAAAATGGTGTATTGGCTTGGTGTTTACTTGAGTGGCACGAGAATCAAAAATGGACGAAGTGCCAATCATTCGAGCTGGATGAATGTGTATGGCCACATCATCATGCCAACCTTAAGTCGAACAGTTGGGAATTGCTTGTACCTAAAGATGAACAACCTAGTTGGGCTGTATTCGAGCATTGGGTGTCAACCCACACGATTCAACACATAATACGATATGGTGCATGCGGTCCCTCTTGTAGTGGGCCTTCGAGCCCCGGTGAAGAGGGTGTGGGAGAGTGAGTTGATTGTGAGAGAACTAGCTGCGGAAAGGACCAGGTTAGAGGGGGTTGGACGGCATAGCGGTAGACTACTGAATTAGGAACGATCGGTGTAAATAACTGATAGGTGTGTTTTCGTGATCGATGAGGAGGCACCAGACTTTCATGGCGGTGGTGGGCCACCTTGTAGCAACCTCGACTGCTTGCATGGAATATCCATCGAATCAAACGATACGCGGGTAGGACTGCTGACGCACCACTCATTCACCTCAGTGATTCTCCTGATCGCGGACTTCGTCTCTGCGTTCACCATACCGGATTCTGCCTTCTGTATCTTGCGTCTCTGTGCTCGAATTATGTATCCCTTTCCCTGTCTTGTGATGTCCAAAGCTCTACGAGCACGATCCGCACTTCCAGTCGACTATCAGACATCGCCCTCGGGCTCATCAAACAGTCATTGTCGATCGCGCCCCACACTGTCTATTTAGTCGCCCCATCGGGGAGAACGTTAGTGGCGTAATGCTTCGCGACTGGCTCGAGTTCTATCTTTCTGCGGCTTTCGACATGCTTTTCCTAAGGTGTTAGGTGACTGTCTCCGAGTATGCTGAAGTGAAACCCGGGGCTGTTTAGTCGCACTGTTGAATCGAAGAATCAAGAAGAAAAGAAAATTATGGGAGAATGCTAATATCGTGATGTAACAAAACCTAGTGTAAGAGCAGTGGGCGCTTGCCGCGCCAGCCGACCCTCACTAGTTATTACTCATTTATAGGTCACTACTCAGGGCGACGCTGCACATCTAGCAAAAACCCTGGTGCTAATCCAGTTGTCCTACATATGGCTGGGACGGCATTCGGAGGACGTGGTGACGGTTGACTGCTAAGGGAAAACGCAAATGGCCTGGTATAAACGACTCTACATATATGTTTCGAAGGCGACTATCGAGAGGACATTCGATTCGATTCCTTGAATCAAAAGACTAGAGCAACCCAAACAATGTAGATCCACACAATGTCTAGCTAATTATTCATTGTGAAGGCCAGAGTGTAATTCTCCTTGATCGTCTAGGAAACCTTCATCCTGGAGTAGCTCCGGTAGTTCTGAAAGGGAGATCCTTCTGTTGACTGCATTTTGCATGAGATTAGTCCTTCCATCTTATTCCCGTAAAGTCTTGAATATAATGCCGGACCAGCGTGCGCAACCTTTTGCAGTCCTGGTCGATTGATAATCAGTGATTTGGAGACAGACATTCAGGATGTTGTGTAACAACTATCGCCGGTTGGGGCAAGTTCGTGAGTATTCCAAGAGTATGCCGTTTCCGCGAGTGCGACGAATATAATACAGGTTGAAATGTGCTCACCATAAGGACCTGCAAACGCCTTCTCATTCCCCGAGAAGCGCTTCCCCTGAATCCGGGTTAACGCTGGTGACGTAGAGCGAGCAACAAGACTAGGTGTGACCCATAGGTATGGATGGACGTGTATGCAAAGAATCATCGGGAGTCGGGTGGAGGTACGTCACAGTAATACACTCTTCTTCAGGTAAGGAAGCACTTGAAGCCATATGGAACAATAGCCATGAGGTAACAATGTATTGATGACGCAAGCACATCGGGTATCAAGTGGCGTCACCGGCTAGCGTCTCACTTTGTCGGAACTATTCCTGGTAACTTCACATGATTTTTGTGCATCGAAACGATCGGATGAGATGCCGATCGCAATCAATCCACCTCGTGTCAACCGCTGGCTTGCTGATATCCTATCAATTGGCGGTCACTGAATCCTTTTGATGACAATTTCGAGGCGGACGGTTGGTAAATTTTCCCCGTCGTGCAGGCCGCACCTGGAAGAACGCCAGCGACTCTGGGGATCAGTAAAGGGATTCACGGGTGCGCAGTGCGTGGCAGTTCCGGGTTCCATCGTTCAGGTAAGTTCTATACCTGGATGCCCAGCAGTGAACAAGGCGTTAAGCAATAGGAATCAAACGGGTGAGGACTAAATATTGGTTTCATGCGTGAGACGACAAGAAAGTGGGATTTGATAAACAAATGTATGCCGCGAAAACCACGCAGTGGGAAGTTTATGGGGGCATATTTCATGGATAATGCCCCTTCCACGGTATAAATACAGTATACAGGAAGAGTACAGTGCGTTATATCCCCTTGACGGAATTGAACCTGTGCTGAGTGGCCCCTTAGTCTGCTGCTCTGCTCCGTGCCGATTGGGGCTCGAGGAGCCGGTTCAAGCCATCACTGGCTGCACACGCACTGGTGTCCTTGCCTGCTATCGAGTTACTCGACGGTTCGGGAGTCTGACGGTGAGATGGTGAGACCATGTGGGAGTGCAGGGTTTGTGACACAAGGCTTACCGAACCGATTCTCCATTGGTGGAAATCCTATTACGAGGATTTCGCCATCCTGAGCATCCAAATCAGTCGTTGGCCCTCCAGTGGTAGTCATCAAGTAGAAAACATACGTTGGACGCATCAACAATTTCCGGAACAGGAGAATCATTATTGAGGGCAACATCCTCACTTTGTGGTGATATTGGACTGACCCGTTTGACCACCTTCATCCCCGTGAGAACCAATTCAATCGTGGGGTATGCATGTCCCCGAAACGGGCTCTCGGCCAAAGCCGGGCCAGCCGTTTCATTCACATACCGTGAACGTCGTTGTAGGTAAGGCGCGTCGATCGACGTCCTCAACATCAGGATAACTGTACGTTGCACTACAGACCCGTCCTCTATTCCTTGGGTGTTCTACTTCTTATTTATTGCCATAAGTGGCATATTCGGTAAGCTCGAAATCCGTCGTTGGCATCATTCCCAGCCCTGCACCTAACAGAACGCACTATGTTCGCCTCCAATCTTGTTATAGATATCATTAAAAAGGACCACTCTTTGTATTTAACTGAAATCCACTGGAGGCGCTTAGCGCATTGCTAGTGCACCACGGTTAACGACAGGGATCCCCCCAATCAACCCAGCCCTCTGAGTACACCGTCTACATAGAGTAACGGTTTCTCCAGGCCGTTCTGTATATTCTGCGCAAGGATTTGGGGCTTGTCCGTGGAGACACCTGCAGAGGGCCGGAGGTTGCACCTAGCACCGCTGGTACTCACGGTTGTTTGGTTCATCTGGGCCACCCGCCGCAAAAACCGATCCCCCGCTCCGATTTCGTGCCATACATCGACAGCTATACACCTTCCTAGGCCCCCATCAAAATCTTTCACCCAAACGGTTGCACCGACACGCAATTCCCCTCCGTGCTTGCTTGCACACCGACCCTCAGATCTCGCTGTTTGCGCTTATACACCCTAAAACGCTCTGTGTGTCGTCTTTTGTTATCGAACGGGTGCAAAAGATCTCAGCGAGCAGAACCGTTGGGTGTTCGCCACGATCCTCTACACCCTCGTATTACACGCTATCCCCTTGTCCAATCCGTATCAGTGGGACCGTATTCATATTCGCTGTCCGCTGTCCAGTCATATCATACACACACCTTCCTAGGCCCCCATCAGAACATCTTACCCAAACAGTGTATTGCATTACGCACCGACATGCGATTCCCCTCCCTGCTTGCTTGCGCACTGACCCTCAGATCTCGCTGTCTGCGCTCATACATCCCTAAAACGGCGACAAACGCTCTGTGCGTCGTCTTCTGTCATCGAACGGGCGTCAAACGGGTGCAAAAGATCTCAGAATTGTTGAGTATCCGCCACGATCCTCTACACCACGCGCTATCCTCTTGTCCAATCCGTATCAGTGGGACCG